GTGCCATGATTCAAATTTCAAATTTATGTTTTTTAAATTTTTTTCAAAAACATATTCACAATGGATCTTGAATCGTGCACAAAAATGTTAGGAGTTCAATGGTGAAAACTGTTTTAGAATCGGATGCTTCATTGAGGAATTATAATGAAAAACGAAAGAGATTAGATTGGATGCGTGTATGGATGCATGCATCAGCTTTATCAGGTTGTGTCAGCTGGAAGTCCTGCTCGCGCGAGAGGTTTCTATACGGTAACGAAATAATTTTCATTAATCCAACTACTGATTTCTATGCAACGTCGTGATAAAAACTTTTCTGTGTAGCTTAACCTAGGATTTTATGCATCCGATCTGTTGGGTCTGCAATGGTCCCCCACCTGCGCACGCGTCAGCCCCGCGGACCTGAATGGTTGGGCTGGCTAGGGGGCTGGCTGGGGCTCTCCATTAGCTACTTGGAGCCCCGGGCTCCCAATATACCATCCCTATATATATGTGTTTGTGGTGTGTTTGGTTCGTGGAGAGTTTATCCCATGAATTTTGATGGAACCGACTTATTTCTTATGTATATATTAATTATTAGGTTGTGAGGAGGTGGGTGGTGATGGATCAACTCATTCCATCTCATAAAACAAATAAAAAAAAGTGAGGAGTGAGAAGATGATGTACCACCCTATTTCTCAAACCAAACACACTCATAGAGCATGGTTACAGAATGGAGATGGTAATAGGGAATTACTCATTGGAGAATGTCTTCCCTCATCTTCACATGGGTATGCACATCCCCATCACCGATTGACACATCACAAAATAAATATATATAGCAAATTGAATTTAACGTAAAAGTAAGGGAGATTTTTTAGCACAAGTGCACAATTAATAAACTGCAATATACATGTATAGTTCATTATTGATGCTCTAGTATAAATATACACACTACATAACAAATCCATCACAGATTCAAATAATGTCTAGACGCATATTGTCGGGGTCATGATACCCCGGGTATCTCAAAACACTGATTAGTCAGCCGCTCGGACGGCCCGCGGTACATGAGCTGGTATAAGCCCGAACGACTGAGGCCCACCTAAGCCATGTGGGCCTAAGCCAAGCACTAAGGCAGGGGATGGCCACGACCTCTTCCCTCTACCTTCACCGTGCGCCGCGCAACGCTGCACGACCTCTCCTCCGCCCTAACCCCTGGGAGGGACGGGGAGAGATCGGGCTTCGCAGGGAGCATCCGCTCTGACAAGAGTAGGCACGCCGCACTAATCCCGTAAGGACCGAGAGGACAGCAGTCCCCTCAGCCTAGTCAAACGCCATCCCTGCGCCACGCAGCAAAGACAAGACAACACCACCAAAGCAGTGGCAGCCAGTACGATGGCTCACCGTCCAAATACGGCCCGACAAGATGGGTGTATGACCCCACTCGCTACGGGATGGGGTTCATGACAACGGCCTTGACTTTGAGACCATCCAAGCCAACGAAGGCCATGACCCCGGGGCTCGGGATCACGGCCACCAACGATCTAGGGATGGCCACCAACTCCCGTACGACGCCCCCAGGAGATCAGGAGGCGATGACGAAGACCACAAAGAGACCACGTCGCACAGAACGGCTGGCGAATCACCACCGTGCCTGCAGTGCCGCCACAACCGGCACAATAGAACCACGTCACCCCATGCCGCGACGTGGGCACAAGACCATGACGACAACCACGCCCAGACGTGCACTACACCAAGCCAAGATGGCGTTTCTTGCAAACCAAGTTAGCTAGGTTCCCTCTCTCAGGCTCACGACCCCTCGGTCGGGAGAACCTCCTTCTCTGCATGTGACCTGGTCCCGGACTCTATATAAGAGCAGCCAAGGCACACCTCCAAGGGATCGGACTCTCGAAACTCTTTTTTTTCTCGAAAATTTTCTCGAAACTCTCATTCAGGCAGTCCATCTCCTAGCTCTAACTTCACTCTCCTACCTCTTCCATCACTCTTGCACCCCATTGTAAGAACTTCAAAGCATTTAAGCAAGGAACACGCACTCGATTATCTCTGAGATTGGACATAGGGCTCCGACCTGAACCAGCATAATTCCTCGTGTCTTTTGAATGCTACCATCGTCTCCCTGAAGCAACGCGATAATCGTATAAATTCACTAGCTAGTCTACAAAATACCGACACATACATGCAAAACTACATGGGACAAGGGGATCAAGTGTGGTGGAGTACCATCCCCGTCCCTATAGGGCCGTTAGAGATGTCTTTTCTTCTGTTTAAAATCCATATGGAGGGAGAATTAGGTCCGTTCGTCCTTTAATAAGAGAATTTTCCATGAGAAACTAGGAATTAGGACTTCATTGACATCTCTAAGCATGGGCGATAGCTATGGCAAAATCTGACCGGAAGTCAGCATCAGAGCTAGCATTTCCCCAAACTTTTAGCCACAATAATTTAGCATTTCGCAAGAAGCTTTAAACTATTTAGAGCCTCTTTGGCAGGGTTCCTGCAGGGGCTTCAGCTCCGGCTCCTGCAGGAGCTGTGCCAAACGCCTGTTTTGGAAAGGGCTCCGTATGGAGAGCCGATCAAAAGTCGGAGCCATTTTTTGTCTGCGCAGGAGAAGCCTAAAAACGAGATTCGCGCGGCTCCTTGCTGTGGGTTCACGTCGTCTATTGCGAAGGAGCCGTTTTGCCAAACGTTTTCCAGAACGGCTTCAGCTTCTCCAGAGGAGCTGCTCCTTCAGAGAAGCCAGAGCCGAAGTCATTTTCAGAGGAGCCAGAGCCCTGCAAACAAGCCCTTAGTTTGTTTTTGGAATTGGCAAGCTGCTTGCCTTAGCCTTTGATGTATGTTTAATTAAAATGTGTAAAAGTTATGTCTTTATTTTCTAGGGTTTTTTTAAAGGCCGTGTGATTTCAATGTAGATACGAAATGCATATTCAATTATTTGTTATTATTATAAATGCTACTCCCTTTAGTCTAAACTATAAGACTTTTTTAGATATATTATTTTATCTATGTATTTAGATATATTAGATGCATTATTACGTAGAAATATCAAAGCATTTTATAATTTAGAACTAAGAGATGGTTTTTTTATATAAATTTAGTTAAATGTAAAATTATTAACTCCTCGTCACAGATGGAGGGAGTAACATGAAGATCAACAAACAAACTGTTTTATCAGCTGACGAGGATCAACTTCACCTTTTAGCCTTTTTATAGGTTTTAGCATTCAGTCCCTCACCAGTCCAGCCCCAGCCCTTTTTATAGGCGGAACAGAGCGAGAGAGAGACGAACCGCCTCGTTTCTTCCACGAGAAGCAAAAGATCGCTCCGCGGTCTATCTCCTAGCTCCATTCCTCTACCTTTTCATCACTCTTGCACCTCATTGTAAGAACTTCAAAGCATTTAAGCGAGGAACACGCACTCGATCATCTCTGAGATTGGACGTAGAGCTCCAACCTGAACCAGTATAATTCCTCGTGTCTTTTAGATACCACCATCATCTTCCTAAAGCAATGTAATCGTATAAATCACTAGCTGGTCTACAAAATACCGACACATACATGCAAAACTACGTGAGAACAAGGGGATTAAGTATGGTGGAGTACCGTCCCCGTCCCTATAGGCCCATTAGAGAGGTCTTTTCTTCTGTTTAAAATCCATATGGAGGGAGAATTAGGTCCGTTAGTCCTTTAGTAAGAGAATTTCCCATGAGAAACTAGGAATTAGGACCTCATTGACATCTCTAAGCATGGGCGATAGCTATGGCAAAATCTGACCGGAAGTCAGCATCAGAGCTAGCATTTCCCCAAACTTTTAGCCACAATAATTTAGCATTTCGCAAGAAGCTTTAAACTATTTAGAGCCTCTTTGGCAGGGTTCCTGCAGGGGCTTCAGCTCCGGCTCCTGACAGGAGCTGTGCCAAACGCCTGTTTTGGAAAGGGCTCCGTATGGAGAGCCGATCAAAAGTCGGAGCCATTTTTTGTCTGCGCAGGAGAAGCCTAAAAACGAGATTCGCGCGGCTCCTTGCTGTGGGTTCACGTCGTCTATTGCGAAGGAGCCGTTTTGCCAAACGTTTTCCAGAACGGCTTCAGCTTCTCCAGAGGAGCTGCTCCTTCAGAGAAGCCAGAGCCGAAGTCATTTTCAGAGGAGCCAGAGCCCTGCAAACAAGCCCTTAGTTTGTTTTTGGAATTGGCAAGCTGCTTGCCTTAGCCTTTGATGTATGTTTAATTAAACGGTGTAAAAGTTATGTCTTTATTTTCTAGTTTTTTTTGAAAGGCCGTGTGATTTCAATGAAGATACGAAATGCATATTCAATTATTTGTTATTATTATAAATGCTACTCCCTTAGGTCTAAACTATAAGACTTTTTTAGATATATTATTTTATCTATGTATTTAGATATATTAGATGCATTATTACGTAGAAATATCAAAGCCTTTTATAATTTAGAACTAAGAGATGAGTTTTTTTTTTATAAATTTAGTTAAATGTAAAAGTATTAACTCCTCGTCACGGATGGAGGGAGTAACATGAAGCAGCCTGTTCGGCTGGCTGGTTCGTATCATTGCTGGTTCATGAAAAAGTACTACTGGTTGGTTTGTGTGAGAAAAAAATATTATTCTGGCTGGAAATTTACGATCATTTACGACAAGCCACAGTCAAACGATCATGCTGAAGATCAACAAACAAACTGCTTTATCAGCTGACGAGGATCAGCTTCTCCTTTTAGCCTTTTTATAGGCTTTAGCATTCAGTCCCTCGTCAGTCCAGCCCCAGCCCTTTTTATAGGCGGAACAGAGCGAGAGAGAGACGAACCGCCTCGTTTCTTCCACGAGAAGCAAAAGATCGCTCCGCATTTAAACCCCACCACTCACTGATCACCGCTTCAGCTTTCCACCGAGCAGCAGTCGCATCGCCTTCACTTCACTTGAAGTGACTCCTCGAGTTTGCGACTGCAAATGCGGCCTGCTCGTCCTTGCGCGAGCGGGTGAACAGTCTGCGAGCGGGATGAGGGAGGACCGCGGCGGCGATATGGCGGAGGAGGAGAGGGAGAGGGATTTGGGCGACATCGTGCTCTCCTGGTCGGTGCAGGAGATCATTAACGACGATCTCTACAAGGGGAAGGTAATCGATCGATCCTTCGGCTGGCGCGCTCTTGGTTCGATTATTATCATAACGGCGGTTGCCAACTTGAACGTTTTTGTTTTTGTGCTTTTCCCCCCCTTTTGGTTGGTTAGTTTTCGCGTCATTTGTGTGAGGAGGTCGATTCATTCAGTCATGGTTAGATGTTTCCTTGGGTTTTTGGTTTTGATATGCATCTGTTCGACGATTCGCATGTCCTGCTGTTGTTGTTCCGGCTTGTGGCTGTGGGGTAGAACCGTAGAAGTTGGCCACTTGGAGCTTGAATGTGAGAGACGGTGCTTAATGCGGCGCCAATCTGACCATAGTTTGTTAGGACCCCTAGTCCCTAGATGATGCACGCTGGTCATACATTGGGCGTTGGTGGTGTCAAATGAACTGATGATTGAAGGTTTACTTCGGGCAATATGTCTACTTTTTTAGCGTCGGATTCTGCTCATCCACTGGACCATGAAGGCTTTGCCATCGAATGATCTGGATTGTACTGATTGAAAAGAATTATATAAATTAGGGGCATGTTTGATTGAGAGCTATGCTTGCCGCACATTCTTGCCTATAAGGCTACTAAGGTTAGTACTGCCACGGTTTTATGTCAATAATTTGTTGCCTAACTTTAAGCAAAGTAAGGCCAAAAAAAAAGATCAGTCTATGTCTCTATGATAGGTGGGCCAAGTGAGAAGCTAGGCAAAACTAAAAGTTATGACGGTAACCAAATACTAACTAGGAAAACTGACTACCTAAAGTTTGTTGTGGCAACCTTAAGTTGCGATTGTAGCCCCTTAATTTGTTTTGTGCATGTTGCATTATCATCTGTGATGTAGCATACATGCATGGTCTTTTGCGAGGTTTAATTATGTAGCCTGTGTCTGAATAGTAAAACTTAACATTTGAAACTCAGTTTAACATTTAGTGAGTGGGTCTCACAGATTCGGTCTGACCGAATGCTTCTGAATGATGTAATCTTTGATTCTGTTGCTATACATATGATCGGTGCATCAACCCTAGAACTAAAAAAAAAAAAAATACAACTCCTAAGTTTCATTATGTTCTGTTGAACACACATGCCAGCGCCATCGTGCCCAATGATAGACAGATCGGTACATTCTATGAAAATTGGTGCTGGAGATTGAAAATCTTTTTGCTGTACTTTATTCCACAACTGGTACACAATGTGATGGTTAACGGCATGCCACCTGTAATGTCCTGTATTGATCTTTGCTTGGTTCTGCTATTCTGCACTAGATGAAATCAGTTATATGTTTGTTAAGTTAGCATTAAGTTCCATATGTCCATGCTGTTTTGCTAATGCTACCCCATATGTTTACAAATAACTGCTACTTTTGATCTAGGAAGTTGAGCTAGCTCAGTTGGTTGATGGTGTAGATGTATACCTAGACTACCCAGGTTCAAGTTCTCGTCAAGGCAAATTTGGGTGCCTATTTTGTTCTTAATAAAATAAAATCCCACCTAGTTCCTTCTAGGTTGATGTGTTTCCATAACATAATTTCCATTTTTCATAAACTTTGTCAAAAAAACTACTATTGATAAACTTGTAGCAGTAGAAGAATAAAATGCCAACTAGTTCCTCCTAGGTTGGTGTGTTTCCATAACATCATTTCCATTTTTCCTAAACTTTATCTAAAATGCTATTACTGATAAACTTGGAGTAGTAGAAATAGGAGTCTGCAGTTACTAAAAATTGGAGTGGGCGCCTCACATTTTTTTTCCGAGTATACACAGGAGAGAATTACTAACAAGCCCAGATAAGTTCCTGCAGGCCTAAGCCTCAAAATCAAAACATATGATCCCATTTATTCCTTGCAAGTCTTCCAAGTAATGAGCAAATATAGTGTGCTCATTGCCTTCTGCCCACCTTTGTTTTTTCACCAACTGTTTGCCTATTCAGGTGGAGAAGATCCCTTTCAGCTTTAGTTCTCTTGATGACTACTTGACGTCATATATTGCACCGCTGATAGAAGAAACAAGATCAGGTCTAAGCTCATGCCTTGAGCAAATCGCAGAAGCACCCTCTTCGAAAATACTTTCCATGGAAGTTGCAGGGAAATCAGGACTGTATTTTATGGATGTTGACTTTTGGGACAATGGTGCTGGTTTTTCTACCGAGACCTACACTGCTAGGAACGGTGATATATTTATTTTGTCCAGCATGAAGCCTGAAGCTGCAGATGACTTCAACCGCTATGGTTTAACATATTGCTTGGCAATGGTTACTGAAGTTTCCATGAATGATGAATATCAGAAGGGCTTCAAAGTGAAAGTCTCAAATGATACTGGTTTAGAAGGAAACTTTAGTAAACTTGTGCATGCAACATTTCTTGATAATATAATGACAAACATACGGATATGGAAAGCACTTTGCTTCGATTCAAGCATGAATAATAATTTCACAATAATCAGGTCACTTTTAGCCCCCAGAAATATGGTAATATACCTTTCAAGTTATTATTTTGTATGTTCCTAGTTTTCATGCCATGTCATAGCTAATTAACTCTTTGTTGGTTCCATTGCAGGGTGAAGATGTCTGTTCTGTCTGTGCTAAAAAGGATGACTGTTTAACGTCTTTTGCAGAGCAGCTACTGCTAGTTAATCTAAATCAGTCACAAGTGGATGCCATTGAATCTATCATCTCAGCTGTACGATGTAGACATTTGAACCTAATGAAACTTATATGGGGTCCACCAGGTACTGGAAAGACCAAGACTGTTAGTGCTATACTGTGGGCTCTGGCTTGTTTGAAATGCCGAACTCTTACATGTGCTCCCACAAATGTTGCTGTTGTTGGTGTCTGCACTCGATTCCTTCAAAATTTGAAGGAATTCAACAAGCAGATTGACAAAACTGGTCTACCTCTTTCTCTTGGAGATGTTTTGTTATTAGGGAACAAGTACAACATGGACATCACTGAGGAGCTCCAGGAAGTTTTCTTGGATTATCGTGCAGATGAGCTTACAGAGTGCTTTTCATCATTGTCTGGATGGAGGTACATAATTGCTTCAATGATATCTTTTTTTGAGGACTGTGGTTCTCGATACGATATGCTTCTTGAGGATGACGGAAGCAGTGATTCTGTATGCTTTTTGGATTTCCTGAAGAAGCAATTTGATGTTTCAGCAAAAGCTGTAAAGAAATGCATGATGACTTTGTGGGTTCACCTTCCAGGAAAGTGCTTTTCACATGAAAATGTCAGCAATATATCTATGGTGTTGAGTTTGCTAGAAAAAATTGATGCCCTTTTATGTGATGGAGATCTAACTGATGAGAGTGTGAAAAGGGGCTTTGATTTTCGATCAACTGAGAACTCTATTTATGCAGAGCCAATATCTTACATTGAGAAGGAATTAGGTGGAGCAAGGTCTCTATGCCTTAAATTGCTGAAAGATCTTCAAAATTCACTTAATTTACCTGTTGGTAAAGACAGGAATTGGATTCAGAACTATTGCATGCGTAATGCAACTCTAATTTTCTGTACAGCCTCTAGTTCTTATCGGTTGCATAACGCAGAGATTGCTCCGCTTGATGTGTTGATTGTTGACGAGGCTGCTCAAGTGAAAGAATGTGAATTGGTGATCCCACTACGTTTGCGTTGGTTGAAACATGTTGTTTTGGTGGGGGATGACTGCCAGCTGAGGCCACTGGTTAGAAGCCAAGTAATGTTCTGCCTTACCCTTATTATGCTATTTACTTACATTCGTTGGTCCGCAATGCGTGTACCAATTTTATGACATTCCCACGATGAAATGCTACGACACTAATTTTCTACAAAAGACATATGTCAGCATTTCGTTCGACTCTTGTTCATTTATTATGATGGTCATTATTCTGATCTTTCATTGTTTATATTTAGGTATGCAAGGAAGCTGGATTCGGAATCAGTCTTTTTGAGAGATTAGTCATACTGAATTTTGAAAAGCATTTGTTGAATATACAGTATCGCATGAGTCCTTGTATCAGCTTATTTCCAAATGCTAAATTTTATGAGAAAAAGATTTTAGATGGTCCAAATGTCCATTCTTCTTCCTACAACAAGGATTACACTGGCCTTCTTTTTGGTTGCTATGCTTTCATAAACATCACAGATGGGAGGGAAGAAAAGGAAGGTGCAGGAAACAGTTGGCGGAACCTGGTTGAAGTTGCTGTTGTTTTGCACTTGATCCAAACCATCTTTAAATGTATGTCAAGCTGCTCTGCTTAATAGCTCTGATACTATCAATATCTGAACTAAAGGTCTTCCGACTTGGCTAACATAACATACATCTTAGGATCATATAGTCTTAACTTCTGTTATGCATTAGAGAACTGTAAGTGCTGGTTAAATTTTGCATTATGAAATATTGAAATCTATTTTCTATGACTTGTTACTAGATGTTAATTATCCTATTTCTCCTGTTTCCAATGCAATAGATAACCTTTGTTTGGCTGTCTCAATTATCTATTAATTGTTTTCCGTCATCTTTTAGAATGTGAAGCTCGATATAGAATTACATGCCATCTAATGGACCAACTTTAGTAAAATTGTATGTATTGTTTGTGAAAATTATATTCATGCGAGTGAAGTAATGTTATGAAAGGAAATGATCCACGAGGAGAACCAGTGATCTTATCAGTTCCTTTTCCCCCTGCAGATTGGAGAAAGAGGGGCCAAGGGATTAGCATTGGTGTAGTTTCACCTTACAGTTCTCAAGTTGCTGCTATCAAAGATAGACTTGGCAAAAAGTATGATACATCTGACGGCTTTCATGTCAGGGTCAAGTCAATTGATGGTTTCCAAGGAGAAGAAGATGACATTATCATACTATCAACAGTTAGATCCAATGAGAGGGGCAATGTTGGATTTCTTGCTGACAACCAACGAACAAATGTTGCTCTTACAAGAGCAAGGTGTGGATTTATTTGTTGTTTCACTGTTGTCGAAGGTACATCTGACAGCAATAACCATATGATATCTAATGAATACTTTGTTTGGTCTAGGCATTGTCTTTGGATTCTTGGGAATGCTAATACACTGTATAAAAGTGGGACAGTATGGACAGATCTTGTTGCTGATGCGGAGAGACGTAAATGTATTTCCAGTGCTACTAATGACCCAGAATTGTGTAAGTTGATTTTGCATGTAAAGAGTGAACTTGATGAACTCGATGATCTACTTTGTTCCAACTCAGCAGTTTTCAGCAATACCAGATGGAAGGTAAGTATGGCAGTCATGTTTGATCACTTTGACTTTGATTGTACTTCCATGCATTCTTGGAAATTCTTAGCTAAAAATTGTGTGTGGTCTTTCTTTCAAAAACAATTGTGTGTGGTCCAACTGCTTCATATAGTTTAAACTTATGCGGAAGTACCAACTCCATTTCTGAAGGCACTTATTTAAATATTCAGACCCCCTAATCTTTATCCTACGCCTTACAAAATGTAATTTTTGTTGTCTAAAAGTAATATTGGGTTCGCATTTGAAGTACCTTATTATTGTTCTGCTTCTGTTGCTATAAACCTTATACTATAAGAGAAATTATGGATCAAAGTCTAATTTGGAGACTTTGCCAATCAATTCAAACCTTATATTTAGAAATCGAGGGAGTAACTAATAATGAACAATTGATACCTGTCAATGTTTTATGATGTTTTATTATTTGTTTGATCTCTTCAGCCTAGATAGTGTTAAGTATTGAACATATTGACATTGACTTGTATTGGAGCGACATGTTACTTTATCCACTACTTATATCAACAATGTTCTTTCCCTGGTCTTTGGCCTCCTAACTCAGCTAATTGATTTGATCTCGTGATGTTTGACTTAAATTCATAGGTACATGAAATCTCCTTGTTATCATGGATTCCATCATCTGATAAAATTGCAATCTCCTTATGATGTTAATATTAAGACCAGATATGTTTTTTTCTACTTTTGCGATCATGTATCTATATTTGGTGATAAATTTGTCTCTTTAGGTTTTATGATGTTACTGGATAGAAAGTGGTTTCTTAATATTTACGAGGCCACTGTGCTATTTATATTGTGATACATAAAGTGTGCAGATTTGGCGCCCAGGGGGACTGGTGCCCTCATTAGTGAAATACCATGTTGCAATGTTTCAAAAATCATCACAAAAATGATGTATGTAGTACGGTTATAGTTAAGTATAGCCGCAACAATTCAGTTTGAAATTCATCCTAGATGTCAAGAAACAAAATAGACAATCCGTCAACCTGGCACTGTTCATCATGCACTGATAGTGGCACTTCTGTTTTTTTAATCTCAACGTCAAAGATGAATTTCAAACTGAACTGTTGCAGCTACACTTAACTTTAGGTGTACTACATACATGATTTTTGTGATGATTTTTATAAACATTACAACATGATATTTTAGCTAAAGAGGGCACCATATAATTTTCCATACATAAAATGCATGGTTACTTCATATAAACCATGTTAGGATGTCCTGATTGTGTTGATGTATGAATACTCTCTCTGTTCCATGGCCAATGGGAAATACGTTCAGCAATGTTTGTTAATTGAGGATCTAGGATATCAAGAATGTAGTTATTGCAATGTTTGCACATCCCTACCCCTAATTTCACCTTGATTTTTTTCTTGTAACTAGTACTTGGTTTTTTCGTTGTGCTAGACAAACATAACAAAAAGGAGGGAGTACAATAAATTTCAGTTCTTACCATTTTTCTTGGGTAGTTTTTTTTACTGAGGTTCTCTTTTTTGTGTTTGTATTGTACAACTCAACAGGTCGTTCTGAGTGACAACTTTAGAAGGTCTTTCATGAAACTAAAATCTCCACTGCTAAGGAGGGAGGTGCTCCAAAAGCTTGTTAAACTTGGTGGTGGTTGGCGGACACCTATAAAGAATCTTGATGTCACTGATGCTTTCCAGCTTGCAAAAGCATACAGGATCAGAGATCTGTATCTTGTTTGGAGTACTGATCTGGAGAAAAACGAAAGATACTTCCAGATAATAAGAGTATGGGACCTTTTGTCACACCAACACGTTGCTAGAACTGTTCAACATCTGGAAAATCTCTTCTCCATGTACACAGATGATTACCTTGACCACTGCAGAAGAGTGCAGATAAAAGCGTATGCCTGTTTCCTGACTTTTTGGATTTTGTTTCGATTTGATTCTATGTGAATAGTGGAACTTAAAATTCCTCAAAACAAAGCTACTAATATAATGGGATGCAATTGTTTAGCCATACAATATAAGCGGAGGTTTTTTTGGACTTTCTCTTGTGATAGGGAAATCCTTTTGTACCCTGCTTTGCTAAGATATCTAGCTACATGGGCAGGAATAATGATTGCGACATCAATTGTGCAGTCTCTGTTTGTAATTGATTGTGTACACTGGGGTTTTCCCCAGCAATTTTGGGATTTGCACGTGAAATCGCTCTTTTAATTATGTTTGTTTTCCCTTCACTTCTGCACCTCAATGTTTCGTTGCTTTCTTCATATTTTTATTCCAACATTTCTAACATGTTTATTATTCTTATTTTGTTGCTTTGTTAGTGTTGGTGACAGGAAGCTGGAAGTTCCTATAGTTTGGGATGCCGAACATGATATTGTTCGGTATAAGAAGGACTGCAGAGTTGATGATCAGGAAGATCATGATCACGTGGACACCTCATGTGACTTGGAGAATACAAAAGTTAGTGAAAGCTTCTTGCTGATGAAATTTTACTCTTTATCATCTGGTGTGGCAAAGCATTTGCTGACAGCTACTGATGGGACTGAAATTGAGATCCCCTTTGAACTGACTGATGAAGAGGAGGTGATAATTCGATTCCCACTCACTAGTTTCATTCTTGGGAGGTCAGGCACTGGGAAAACCACTGTTTTGACAATGAAACTGTATCAAATTGAGCAACACTCCTTGATTGCATCTCAAGGGATAGAGTTGGACGAAGTTGATTTATCTGTGGCTGATCCCAAAAATTGGTTGGCAATGGACACAAGCAAAAGAGAGAGTTTTGTAAAACAAGTCCTTATCACTGTAAGCCCTAAGCTTTGTTCAGCCATAAAAAATCACATTTGCAGGCTTAAAAGGTAACGATGTCCTAATTTGAGTTGTCTGCACCCACCAATACTTATTATATCTGTCAATGACTCGCACTCTAGTTTTTCCCTGAGATGTTTCTTTAAAATATGCAAGCTACTTTAGTTACTTTGACCGCCTTGTCGATATGTCAACCACGTTCCACATTTAATATTTGCTTTAACCCTTTGTAGGTTTGGCTCTGGCGAGGTTTCTGACCAGCCCAACACTCTTCATATGCATGATGTAATTGATGACCTCGAAGAGTTTACAGATGTACCTGATAATTTTAGTGATCTACAGCACGAGCACTATCCTCTTACGATAACATACCGTAAATTCTTGATGATGCTTGATGGAACATTGCAGACTTCATTTTTTGATATGTTCTATGGAGATTTCAAGCCTAGCATTGAGAGAGGTCATTCCAAAACTCGAGCCTTGCAAGCTTTTATTGAATCAAAAGAAGTTACATTTGAGAAGTTCGCTGCTTTCTATTGGCCCCATTTCAATGGAGAAGTAACGAAGAAACTTGATGCATCCACTGTCTTTACTGAAATAATTTCTCACATAAAGGGTGGATACAAAGCTAACATGCCGTGCAATGGCAAACTTGAAAGGCTTGATTATGTGATGCTCTCTGATAAAAGATTTTCATCTCTGAACAGTAAAATGCGAGAGAAAATTTATGATGTTTTCCTTGATTATGAGAGTATGAAGCGCACTGCTAGGGAATTTGATATGTCGGATTTTGTCAACAGTCTTCACAGAAGTCTAGTTTCTGAGGGCTACGATGGGGCTTTAGTGGATTTCATTTACATAGACGAGGTGCAGGATCTTACCATGTCACAAATAGCACTTCTCAAGTATGTCTGCAGAAACTTTAAGGAGGGCTTTGTTTTTGCTGGTGACACGGCACAAACTATAGCAAGGGGTGTTGATTTCAGGTTTGAAGATGTTCGCTCACTGTTTTATACCTCATTTCTCTCAGAAACTGAAGCATGCAACCAAGTAACTAAACATGGAAAACAGGCTCGTCTCACGGATATGTTCCAACTAAGTCAGAACTTTCGCACGCATTGTGGTGTTCTTCGTATGGCTCAGAGTATAATGAGCCTTCTGTACTACTTTTTTCCGTCATGTGTTGACAAGCTTAATCCAGAAACTGGGCTTGTATATGGTGAAGCACCTGTTCTCCTCGAGTCTGGTAATGATGAGAATGCAATTATGGCTATTTTTGGAGAAAGTAGAGGTGAACATGGTGACCAGCATGGGTTTGGTGCTGAGCAAGTCATATTGGTCCGTGATGATGCAACGAAGAAACAAATTGTTAACCTTGTTGGTAAACAAGCTCTTGTCTTGACTATTGTTGAATGCAAGGGCCTTGAATTCCAGGTATGTGTCTCAAACTTGGCTCGTAGTTCTATATATTTTAGTTTCAAGTATGTTTTCTTAAATTTAACTGAAGTCTCTCTTTCTTACAAAATATATTCTGTAGGACGTGCTGCTCTACAACTTTTTCAGTTCATCACCATTACGGAACAAATGGAGGGTTGTATATGACTACATGAAAACAAGAGATGTTATGTCATCATCTGAAGTTATATCTCATCCGGGTTTTGACAGAAACAAGCATTATCTACTATGTTCAGAACTGAAGCAGCTCTATGTCGCAATCACACGAACTAGGCAAAGACTCTGGATATGTGAAAATGCCGATGACTACTGTCAACCGATGTTCGACTATTGGAAGAAATTGTGCATTGTAGAGATTAGACTACTTGATTCTTCACTGATTCAAGCAATGCAGACAGGGAGCAGTGCTGATGATTGGAGGCTAAGAGGTACCAAGGTTTGTATTGGACATCTTGAGGCTATTCTTTTTCTAGATTCAACATTTTCTCACATGCTCATTCTAAGCAAAGCATGGTACAAAACCTCCTTTGATGTTACTGTACTTCTCTTCAACAATTGCAAGTCCATCTAACAAGTGTTTTTTGTAGTTATTTAATGAGGGGCAATTTGAGATGGCTACAATGTGCTTTGAAAAGGCTGGTGATGCATATAGAGAGAAATGGGCAAGAGCTGCTGGACTACTTGCAACTGCTGACCGTGTCATCTCCACAAATTTGGAAATGGGCCAAGCTTCCTTGCAGAAGGCATCGGAGATTTATGAGTCTATTGGCATGCATGAGAAAGCTGCCACTTGCTACATCAAACTAGGTGACTACAAAAGAGCAGGTGTGATCACTTTACATAATTTTCTTATTCATCAAAATGACCAGGGTCTCAATTATATAACTGCTCATTATATAAAATGTGAGCTCTTTCTACAAATCTTCATTAGCCTGTTATTTGTTGAGGAGCCTAGTGGCATGAGGCTATGTGCATCAAACAGTGCAGAGCTTGGAACGACTTTACCATCATTCCAAACAATATAAATGGCAAGCTGCTATAGAAGACAACACAAGAAAATCTCCTATAAAATTTTAAAAAGTTTTGTTTCCTCATCTTAGTGAGGTTGATGCCTTTCGATGTTGTTGACTTGTCAGGTGACATGATTTCTATTTCCCTTAACTTTTTCAATTATGCTATTTTTTCCCAAAAAAAATTTGCGACGTGCCAATGACATGTATTTCATTAAGAGGGAGTAGAAACAAAATGTTACAACCCTCAGGAACGGTAATTACCAATTACCAAAACAAGGACAAAAACAGCATAGATGTAAGCCTATATTACAACCAACAAATTTGCAACGAGCAGCAGCTCCCAACAGACGCTAACATAGAAGCGCAGCTAGTGACCTAAGGTCCCTGAAACCCGCCAGCACCCTCGCCCACAATTTTCTGCACGAGCTGTGCTGCCGAGGAGCTTTGTCCATCAAAGGTCCTCGCACTCCGCTCTTTCCAAATTAACCATCCTACAAGGAAGAACAGAGAGTTGAATCTTCTCGGTACTGCCTTGGGAACGAACTTCCTTGACCGCAGCCACCATTCCATTTTTTAAGATAGTTTTATGTCACAAAACACATGATACTATCTGAGTAAACATTGTAACGACGCTGATGTGACTATCTTTGATGGATATAGGGATGTTGTATATGGAAAAATTTGGAACTAAAAGGCTTGAAGATGCCGGAGACTGTTTTGCTATTACTGAATGCTGGACACTGGCAGCTGAAGTTTACTTCAAAGCTAGATGTTATACAAAGTGTTTCTCCTGCTGCTCTAAAGGTAAAGAATTGTATCTGGGCCTGCAATTCCTGCGACAGATAGAAAAGGAACAGTGTGAGAATTTTAACTCAGACTTCGCTGCTGTTAGAAAGACATATCTAGAAAATTGTGCTCTGCATTATTTTGAACGTGGGGACATAAAGCACATGATGCCATATGTCAAGGATTTCAACTCTATGGATCATATTCGTGCATTCTTGAATTCTAGGAATCTTTTGGATGAACTGTTGAGTATAGAGATGGAAATGGGCAATTTCCTTGAAGCTGCAGATATAGCAGAGCGTAAAGGTGATGTCTTATTGGAGGTAAACATACTAGAGAAAGCAGAGTCATTTGTGAATGCTACACAGCTTCTCCTCCTCTATATCACAGCGAATTCCTTGTGGTCTCCATACAGTAGAGGATGGCCTCCAAAAAGTTTTGCAGAGAAGGAACAATTGCTTACAAAAGTTAAAGAAATGGCGAAGAAAGTATCTGAGGACTTTTTCTGCTTTGCTTGCTTTGGAGCAGACTTGTTGTCAGATTCCCATAAATCTCTTGCCAGCTTGACCTATAGCTTGCTTGAGGGTAAAAAATGTGGAAACTTGTTAATTGAACTTATTTCTGCTCGTTACATTATTGATGTTCATCTTCAGTCTCAAACCTCTGGATATAATCTTGAGTTAGAGCCAGGATTTGAAGATGAGCTGTGTTATAATATGCTGGCTTGTAATCAGATGTCATTGGAAACACTGGCCTGTATTTGGAACCAGTGGAGATTAATTTTAGTCAAAGTGCTTGCTCATCTTTATCCCTCTGAGGATCTGAAATCAAATGATTCTGCAGCTATGTGTGAAGATCTTTGTGCTAAATTCTTCGGGTTGAGAAAAGACAGTGGTAATCGATATGTGGTACTTAATATGGACTCTGGTTGGCTTACTAACACAGGTAGAAGTTCTTTGGAACAAGATGGCAACAGATGTTGGCTGGATACTGTCCATTGTCAGTCATGTGCTCGGAATTTTCTGGTAAATGAGCTTTCTTCTGTTGGCCTTAGTGTCCTCCATAAGTTGGCGTCTATTATTGAAGCTTCTAGGAAGAAAGCATCATCTCCATATTCCCAGTGGAGAAGTACTGTTATCATATATGATATAGCAATGTTTCTAAAAGACTCTGAGTGCTGTATGGCAAAATCTTCCAAAAAGTTAAGAAACCCCTTCATTCTCTGTGAACAGAACTTTTTTGAATTACTTTTCCGGACCTGGGGGGATGAGACAGCAGAGAGCTTTTTCTATATACTTGACTCACCTCCTGCATATGGTTTGATTGTGGATTCTCTTGGCTCACATACTAGGGCAGGGAATCGGAATTTGACTCATGGGCATCTTGGAAGAATAGCCATGTATCTGCTCTACACAGCAAAATCTGATGATATGCTGAATTTAAGACTTGAACAATACCTGAATCGTGACTCTGAGTGGGCATATTTCTTTCAATCTTTGAAGATATTTCTTGACAGTGGTGTTGAAAGATGCTCATTGGTCAAGAACTTTAAACTGGCTCTTGAATTCACTTTCGATGCAAGCTGGAGGAGTGAGACAGATTATATGTCCCCAATATGCTATATGAACCTAATGGAATGCCTTGGTTTCTTTGCATTGTCCTGTTATATGCTTAATGGTTGTGTGCTCTGCACAAAATCTCTGTTGGTGAAGATGCTAAAGTGCCGTACAAGCAAGGCTTACCTAGGTGCTTGCCTGGTTTCTGGTCCAGGTGACCAGGATTTGGATCTTGACCATATGGCATTCGCATCAGGACGATTCATACGCCGGTCAATTATGGATATTTTGGCTAACAAGCAAGCTATTCAAGAGTGGGTTAGGAAAACAACGCCAGCTATTACATACGTTCCAGTCCTTCTGAGACTAGTAATCATGCTTTATATGGTGACTCTAACTCTTCAGTTTGGGGACTGCTATGAGGTCACAACTTTCCTTTATAAGTGCAGAATTTTTAAGGATTTACCTCCCGATTTCTCTAAGAAGATTGTACCTACCCTGAATTTTAAGTCTGGCACAGTAACCCACTTCACAAGAATATTTGGTGATGCACTTGCGGCAATTGGAAATCCCATGGTCGTTCTTGGTTTGCCCAAAGGCCCACTAATCAGCCAAGGCTTAAATGCTTATAGAATTAGCAACACGGATTTGAGTGATGTTAACAAAGTAATAGCATTACTTTGTCCAGAACAGAAATCTCCCATGCAAAAAGGTACAAAAACCTGGAATGTTACTTCTGGAAATTTGCCTATTGCTAGAATACAAGATAATGAGATGGTTAGTAGAATTGAAATGCATTTGAGTGATGAGAGTATTTCCTTTTGGGAGAAGTTTGAGTCGTTTCAAGTCTTCATGCATGGCCAGGTGAGTTGATTAGTTGTAAGGTTCATTTGGTAGCTTTACTTTTTATCTCAATCCCGTGTGAATGTGAGGTTCATATATTTTTTATGCTATTTTTTGTAGAAGGATGCAATGGTTATTATTCAATTCCTTGAAAATCTTCTTTCTTGGCTGGAGCTACGAGACCCTCCGGAAAATATAGATGCTCAATTATTCGAAGAGGTCAGGCACATCTGCAGTCAATTTCAAGAGAAGTATTTTAGGTATGTTTCAGAAGTTATGAAATGGTACTGGTATTTCAGTTCACCTACTCTAATTAGTAGTAGCGTGTGTATTTGAGTGTGATCTTTAACTATCAACATCCTCCTTTTGATGCATGAAGTGTTCTTGTAAAAACGGTTCCCTGCAAAATCAATAATGAATGCATCTGGAAACTGTATGTTATTACCATCGATTCAATCTTTATTAGCTGACAACAGGCAATTTGACTGCCTGTTTGAGGATTTGTAATTTCCATTGTTTCCGTACCCTGTTCGCTTCGCTGAAAAGCGAGGCTGAAAAGTACTGTTCGCTGATTTGTTGTGAGAAAAATACTGTACAAATGGCTGATAAGCCTTGTTGATAAGTTCAAGCGAACAGGGACTTTATTACCTTAGGTGCCTATTTGAAGATTAGTAGTGGTTTCCAGTTCCCAAAAAAAAGTAGTGGTTTCCATAATTTCCATATTTTGCATTAATTAGTAATTTTCATTGTGTCTGAAAGTGGTTACTCCCATCTGAGAATTCAAACTGCCTTGTCATTACAGGGATAAGAAAGCTTGTCTGACTGTCGAGGACCTTTACTCGATGTGGAATGATGGCGAGAAAAAACTGCAGAAGATCATCAGTTTCCTGCGCCATGAGAAAGCTTCCGGAAAAGAATCTGTCAGAATGAAGGACAAAGCACCTGCTGCCCAATTCCCCACGGACATGGGTGATGAATGGAGTGGATGCTCAGATAATGAACCTGACACAGGCGGAAGTGACGCGGTGGAACCCGCCAAGGAAGAAGCACCGGTGTCCTGCACGACTTCAAAAAAGAAAGCCCAGAATCAGAAGAACAAGAAGAAATCGAAGAAGAAGCGCGGTGGCAAGAAGTGAGCTGCTCAGCTCTAGTAGCATTTGATGTGAGATATAAAAAAAAGTAGCACTGGATGTACTGAAGAACTATTCTCGTTGGCTTGAACTATTACGGCTTGTTCTAGTCTGTTTAGCGCATAGTTGACTACTACTGTTTACTGTGTTGAACTGCCTGTGGTTTATGCCTTTTGCCACGAGGGTTTTTAGCGATGGTCAGATGCGTTGTCTCAGCCGCTGTACGCCTCTACCTGGTTTCTGCTAATAGCTAAGCCTAAACCCCACGAACACCCAAAAAAGAAAAGAAAAAGAAAAAAGAAAGACGCCTCGACCGCCGCCGAACCCAAGCCCGTCCACATGACGGCCGCCGTTGCGCGGCTGCTGCTTCCGAGGGTGGCCAAGACCACGGCCACCGCTCTATTCCGCGGCCCCCTCGATTCCTTCTCCAGTCGCTTCCGAACGCTCGAGCCGCCGCTTCTGCGGCCGCTGGCCCTGTTCTCGCGGAACCTCTCCGAAGCCGCCTTCGACGCGCAGGCGCTGGATACCCGCGTTCCCGCCACCGTCATCACCGGCTTCCTCGGCTCCGGCAAGGTGCCGCCTCGCCGGCCCGCCCTCCGCCTACCCTTCCCTTCTCGCACAGTGCTTACTGATTGGTGCCGTGGTGTACAGTATGTAGCTGCTGCAAGTTCCCTTGAGCTCAGACAGCGGCTGATGCGATTGTTGCATTTCTCAATCTGATCCCAAATATAAGTGGCCACATAGTGCTCTACTTGTGAAAGCAAATGCTATAATGCTATTGCTGTGGAATTAGACATATTGTAAGCTTGTCGCCGTTTTGAATCACATACATGAGGCTATAGCCTATAAAAGTATAAAGCATTGATGATTATCTAGTAAGGTTGACTTTTGTACTGAGATCTAAATTTTGCAGACAACTCTCCTGAACCACATTTTGACCTCACAGCATGGGAAGAGAATTGCTATCATTGAAAATGAGGTAATTTTTTTTTCCCGACTAATAAAATGAGGTAATCTCAATAGACATATATCGGTAATAATTTAAGATTTTGATATTGTACACTTCAGCTATGTAAGATAACCATTTATGGCATGTTTTAGTTCAATTAATTAGCCATATTAACCAGCCAACATTTGCAATGAATTAGCTCAATTAAACACCGTGAGACCTAGTGCCCCCATGTTAATCAGCCATATTTTCTTTCCGTGTAGTTTGGTGAGGTGGATATTGATAGCTCGCTTGTTGCTAGCCACTCATCTGTTACTGAGGATATTGTAATGGTGAATAACGGTTGCTTGTGTTGCACTGTCCGAGGAGATCTTGTAAAGATGCTTCTGAAGCTAGTGAAGCAAAAGGGGGACAAGTTTGATCATATTGTTATTGAAACAACAGGTGAATCTTATTGGAATAGAATCCTTTCCTGCAGTACTATTTCAAATTTGTAGCAGATGCCAAAACTTTTCAATAATGAAACAGGCCCTACAGATACATGATTCCATGATTTCTTCATTATCTGATAGATTCTACTTCATAGTCCAGGTCTTGCGAAGCCTGGTCCTGTCATTGAGACATTCTGTTCAGATGAGTTGGTCTCTAAGTATGTGAAACTTGATGGTGTGGTTACAATGGTTGATTGCAAGCATGCCATGAAGCATTTGAAAAGTGAAAGCCAGGTGGGTTGTAAATGAGGCAGTAGAACAAGTTGCCTATGCAGACCGAATTATATTGAACCAGGTATTTTCTGTAGTATATTGTATTAAAAGTTCACTATTAATTGTTCTCCAGTTACATTTCTATCTGCATTTTTTTGTTCTAGAATAGAACTTATCAGGAATTTGTCTTTTCCCCCCCTAATGTTCCATAAATTCTGTAATACAGGTTGATTTGGTTGATGCAGAATTGGAGGCATTGACTAACAAACTCAAGGTAGATTGGTATAATCCTTTTGTCGGGTTCATAAACTCGGGGTCCCCAATGGACCCGTTTCCCTGCAAAACCCGGCCCAGCAGGTGGCGCAGCGACAACGTGCGCCTGGGCCGGGCCAGATACATAAGACAGGTCGAGACAACGATCCGGTCACCGACCGGAAGGCCTGGCCAAGATGGGACTACAGCTCCAACCAACCCCCAGGTGCGCGCCTTTCTCCCGACCGAGAATACGCCGGACCTCTGCTCGCTGCTCTTTCCTGACCGACACGGTCGGGGCCAACTGGGAACGACCGACCGGGGACGCCCGCTCGGTGAGGGCCCGGGGATCAGGCGAAGCAGATAAGGTAAGGCGCTCAAGTCAAACCGCAATACCGAGGACCGTACCCTTCCATCCCCTACGCACCTGCAGGACGGTGCCACCAGGCCATGTCAGACGGGCACTATACAACCTTCCAGACGTGTCAGAGCACAAACAGTATTGTAGGCGCCGCTCTGACAAGAGCAGGCACGCCGCACTGATCCCGCAAGGACCGAGAGGACAGCAGTCCCCTCAGCCTGATCAAACGCCATCCCTGCGCCACGCAGCAAAGACAAGACAACACCACCAAAGCAGTGGCGGCCAATACGATGACCCACCGTCCAAATACGGCCCGACGAGACGGGTGTACGACCCCACTCGCTACGGGATGGGGTTCATGACAACGGCCTTGACTTCGAGACCATCCAAGCCAACAAAGGCCATGACCCCGGGGCTCGGGATCGCGGCCACCAACGATCTGGGGACGGCCCCTAACTCTCGTACGACGCCCCTGAGAGATCAGGAGGCAATGACGAAGGCCACGAAGAGACCACGTCGCACAGGACGGCTGGCGAATCACCACCGTGCCTACAGTGCCGCCACAACCGGCACAGTAGCACCACGTCACCCCATGCTGCGACGTGGGCACAAGACCATGACGACAACCACGCCCAGACGTGCGCTACACCAAGCCAAGATGTCGTTTCTTGCAAGCAAGTTAGCTAGGTTCCCTCTCTCAGGCTCACGACCCCTCGGTCGGGAGAACCTCCTTCTCTGTATGTGACCTGGTCCCGGACTCTATATAAGAGCAGCCAGGGCACCCCTCCAAGGGATCAGACTCTCGAAACTCTTTTTTCTCGAAAAAAATCTCAAAACTCTCAATCAGGCAGTCCATTTCCTAGCTCTAGCTCCACTCTCCTACCTCTTCCATCACTCTTGCACCCCATTGTAAGAACTTCAAAGCATTTAAGCAAGGAACACGCACTCGATCATCTCTGAGATTGGACGTAGGGCTCTGGCCTGAACCTGTATAATTCATCGTGTCTTTTGGACGCTACCCTCATCTTCCTAAAGCAACGCGATAATTGTATAAATTCACTGGCTGGTCTATAAAATACCGACACATACATGCAAAACTACATGGGAACAAGCGGATCGATGTCTTTTCTTCTGTTTAAAATCAGGGAGAATTAGGTCCGTTCGTCCTTTAATAAAAGAATTTCCCATGAGAAACTAGGAATTAGGACCTCATTGACATCTCTAAGCATGGGCGATAGCTATGGCAAAATCTGAGCATCAGAGCTAGCATTTCCCCAAACTTTTAGCCACAATAATTTAGCATTTAGCAAGAAGCTTAAAACTATTTAGTTTGTTTTTGGAATTGGCAAGCTGCTTGCCTTAGCCTTTGATGTATGTTTAATTAAACGGTGTAAAAGTTATGTCTTTATTTTCTAGTTTTTTTTAAAGGCCGTGTGATTTCAATGTAGATACGAAATGCATATTCAATTATTTGTTATTATTATAAATGCTACTCCCTTTAGTCTAAAGTATAAGATTTTTTTAGATATATTATTTTATCTATGTATTTAGATATATTAGATGCATTATTACGTAGAAATATCAAAGCCTTTTATAATTTAGAACTAAGAGATGAGTTTTATATATATATAAATTTAGTTAAATGTAAAATTATTAACTCCTCGTCACGGATTGAGGGAGTAACATGAAGATCTACAAACAAACTGCTTTATCAGCTGACGAGGATCAACTTCTCCTTTTAGCCTTTTTATAGGCTTTAGCATTCAGGCCCTCGTCAGTCCAGCGAAACGCCCCGTTCGTTTGGACTTGTTTGGCTTATAAGCCGTACTTTTTCATCCAACGAATAATATTTTTCTCTCACACCAAATCAGCCAACAGTATTTTCAGTCATGGCTTGGCAGCCAAACAAGCCCAAATGAACAGGGCGAAGGATCTTGTCACTGTCATGGTCATGGATCACCCATTCACCCCCACCCTAAAGGGAGAGGACAGAGGAAGATCAAAGATTCAAAGGGAATTGTGACAGAGGCGTCTGTTTTTTGTCCACTTTGCTAGTGGAGGGAAAAGAGGTGTAGAATGCTGGCCGCCTTTTGACCTCCCGATTTTGGGTGGAGAGGAATGAAATACAGATACTCACGATATTTGTGACACTGTTTATGCTGCTAAAATTGTGGAGTATTCATGCTGAGCGCATCGTTGAATTTGACCAATCCATTAATAATCGTACTATGTTAATTTGTATGCTTTATTTAACCTTATATTCCAATAATAAATAATGTCTCTTTTTTTGAGAAGAGGAAGGTAGGATGAATAATGTCTCTTGTGTTTGTTGTCTCAGTATCGTGGGCCTAGCTTGCATGCAAAAAGCCCATAGGCCCATGTAGTACATGTGTGATCTGTTACACCGAGGGCTCTTAGATACGGATGGGCCGGAATTTGTCAATCTAATTGAAATGCATAAAACGCCAACCCTGTGGGCTTTCGCTGGAACTGGAGGCCCATATTTGCTAAAATGTTCGCAGTACCTTCCTTTTTTTTAATCTCGCAGCACCTTAGAAAAAGGAAGCGAAGGGTTCGTACGGTTCTCTAAAACGAAAATGACGTTGGAACGGTTTACGGCAAAGCGCTAGAAACCGAGAAACTACTCCAATCAAACGAAGAAAGAGAAACAGAAAGATGAGGTAGTAAGCATCTGTTCCAACAGAAAGCTAGCACAAAACGGACGGTGAGAGGATCGACC